TACAGTCGAGACCTGCTCTTTTATAAAAAGCGCTGTGAGATAACTGTTGTTGTGATTTGGCTATATAAATAAAATTGAATTGAATTGAATTGGTGATCCCCTGAGTTTTCACACGTAGTCAAAATTTCACTTTGTCCTATACTTAAAACCAAATCAAAACTAAAAACATTACCCTCAGGCTCTCCTGAGTGATTCATAAAGGCTCAATGTTGTTCACCCACCCTTAAAGTCCAAATTCAGTACAGCACGTTGTTCCAATTTGATATTGCATTATTGATAATTGGCAAATAAGGGCTATACTTAAGAACGAAAACCAGATTAAATTAGTACTATACCTTACATACTAAATATCTGTATGCCTCCATGTGTTTAATTAATTTGATCTGAGAGTTTACAATCCATCATTCCTGATGTGGTTGATCATGGTCGGTGTAGAATTCACCTGTTCCAGGTCATCATGTCTCAGCTGATAAAATCAGAGCAGTGATGTGCATATGATTCACTGATCACAACTACTTTATGAATCATCCTGAAGACCTAAGCGTGGCTTACTGCTCTTATCCGTGTGTTTGGTGAACACATACCCAAGACCTGATGATGGTGAGTGGGTGAGTCATCAATACATTATGCACGCATCAAATGGCTGACACAAAAGATGCTCAAATATGATCTTCTGCCTTTGTGTCCATCTGTCAGTTGAGAATTACCTAAGACCTTTTATTTACCATGGCAGAGAAGAGGGTTGGGCTGTGGGTTTAAATGAAAGCAAGCATGTGTTGCAACAAAAGACCTTGTAATCATGCAGGCCTTTGAAGAACATCTAGCCTCTAATGGTCCCCATTCAGGGAGGAGCAAACAATCCCCACTTCAGTCCACTTGTAGTCAAGAGTATGTGAGAGGGGTACATTTTGGGCAAGATGACTTTACCAGTCAAGTTGTCACTCTAAATGCAACCTAATGTGAGTAGCTGGACAGAGGCTGCAGCAGCCTTCTGTGTAACCACTATATCTATCTGCAATGAGCCCACCTGATGTGTCAGCTTGCCACAGCTAAGCAAAAAGAGAGAGGCTGTGGTAAGTCCACTTAAATTGACTGAGCACCCAACCTGATGTCAGCAGATGGCTGATCGGAGAAGAAACCTCCCATCTCAGCTCCCTGTCCATCAGCCAGCCTCAGTGCAACTGCTAATCCCCTCGGGACAAGTCTCCTCTTCCACCTCCCAGGCAGCTTTTCTGTCAGGTCCCTTCACCCAGCATCACAAGAGCCACTGCTATTTAAAGGCTGGTGCTAGTTTTATTATGATATATTACTTAGCAAAGACTAATATTAGGTTTTGGGGGTGAAAGACACAGGTACATGCTGTAATGCATCCATTATAAAAACGCCAAAAACATCCATTAATCTGCTTAGACACCATAGAAAAAGACGCTCCTTATAACTCCAGAACTTGCCAGTTTTTTTTAGTTTTTTAGGTTTTCTTCAGTATCAAAGTAATCCAGCAATAGTTGTACATCCAGGAGGGGCACAGCTGTCTCTGATTTGTCTGACTTTGAAAACACTGATTTAAAGAAATACAATACACCACTAAGGAGCCCCAGGAACTAAACTAAGGAACTAAAAATCCCTTTGCGAATTCCTTTTGCATAACCACCTCATTATATTATTGTATGAGACCATTTCTGAGAGCAAATCAGCAAATCCTGGAATCAGATAACTGAGAATTGTATACTTGATGGTAGGAGAAACTCTAACATGCATTTGTTTTGTGAAGAGTAAATTTACAAAATTACTACTCAGTTGAATAGTGAAAATAAAAATAAAAGAACATGACATTTAAGGCTTTAGAGACTACTCTCTCACAGCACACTGTGATGAATCGTTTAATCAGCCATCTGAAATATTGGACAAATAAACAAAAGGAAGGAACAGGAAGGAGCCTCCAGCACTGTTACAAACTAGATAAATATGGGATGTTGGACTTAGAAGATCCATTTGACCCTACACTCCCCCTAAATGTTTGAGTGATCGGATGACTAGAAAGGTGCTGTATTAGGTATAGTCCATTTATCATTTACCATGTGAGGTCCTGTTATGTTATCCTGCACCTAGAGTGCCAGTTTTGTACTACGAAACAGTCACACTCCTGACCAACCCACAACATGAGCACACACAGTCAGTCCCTTTCTGCTAGGTCCCGTGCATCCAGCCAGACCAGCTGACCAGACTCCCCTCTAACAATACTTTGTGTTTTTGTCTGTCTACCAAACGACCTGTCACTTTAATAGCTGGCTATAATGGCTAAAGCTATAAAATGTCTCACCTACCAGTTAGAACTTTTTAAAAGATAAGCTAATAATGCACATAAACCAGCCTCTGTGCTTAACTCAAACTGTTAACTCATAGTGCTCCAGAACTACCATTTCCCATTACTCAACACCAGACACCCACCAAACATCCTGTTAGGAAATATCATGCTAGCTAGCTGATTCTCATTTGTGGTCTGATAAACATGGCATTTATCAGGCTTTTGTCAGACAGAAGTAGGCGTGGTTCTATTGCAACCACCTAATAGTCGACTAATTGATGAGAAGAGTCTTAGTCGACCAACTTCTTATTGGTCAGTTAGTCCATTCCATTTGGGAGCTGCGCCTTGTCGTTAGGGTGATGACAGAGGTGTTTGTGAAGTGAAGTGACGTGATTGTTGCAACAATGTCGGCCCAACCGACAACCGGGGCCTGTACTATGAAGCAAGTTCAACATACCCAGGGTATGTTTTCGTTATCTGGCTTCACTAACTCTAACAATTGCGATCAGGCTACGCAGTCACACAACGCTGTTGATCAACTCAGAATGTGACGGTTTCCCAATTAAGCCAGGAGTGCGTTCACATAAAAGAGCTGGTCTTTTCAGCAGATGACCAAACGCAAACATGGTCTACTGGTGTATTTTACAAAACAAGAAAACTATAATCCACAACAAGTACAAGGCTTTAGTATAAAGTAATAAGTTTATAAAAGTAGCCTATAAATGAGTGGTTGTATAAGTGTGTGGTCTTCTGCGAATGGTGACGGCATTTTCCAAAAGAGCTGATAGGTCAGTAGGCGGTGTGTTTATAGAGTTGATCTCTTATCTGTTGTAGGACAACCATTGCAGGACTGAAAACCCAGGGTTAAACCTGAAGTTACCTCGTGAACATCAAATCCTGCTTCTCCAGGCCCCTGGAGAATGTCTGTTTACACTACTAGCACAGGAGCTTTGCTTCACAGCTTGGACCCATAATAATTAAGTTGTAAATGCTCCGTACTTGTATAGCGCCTTTCTAGTCTTTTCGACCACTCAAAGCGCTTTTACACTACATCTGCATTCACCAGTCACACACATTCAAGTGCTCAAACGGAAACTAACATTCACACTCACTCATACACTGGCGGAACAACCAGGGGCAAATCGGGGTTCAGTATCTTGCCCAAGGACACTTCGACACGCAACCAGGGAGAGCCAAGGATTGAACCGCCGACCTTCCGATTAACGGCTAACCTGCTCTACCTCCTGAGCCACAGCCGCCCCAAGTTAATATCCTAAACGTGCAACAGCCAGTCAATCAATGGCTTCTACAAATGACTACTCGTAGCCTAGCCTAGATGGGGGCAGCGCTGAGTTCACAGCGTGAGGTGCCTGCCTCCTCCACCTGCCTGGGGTCTGCAGCCCAGGCTTAGCATGGAGGCTTGGGAGTGTCCAGCATGTCAGCCTGAGGATTTGCACTTGGAAAGTTGTGTTTGTTGTCAGAATGTCACTTGAGCTCACAAGGAGACTGTAATGGTCATTCTACCTTACAATACAAACGTGTTAGGACAAACAACATACTTAATATTTTTTCTATTCTCAAAGTAGTGGTCCAAAAAAGTTAACTTTGTTCTGTTGGTGGCACATCAGGAAAGGCACTGGGATCAAGAAAATGAAGAAGGATTATCCCAAAGTAAGCATGAAAGATGATCAAATATATTGTTTTAAAATGTGATATTTTGTCCAGAGAGTCCTCTCTAGAGTATGAAAGTGTTCTGTAGATTTCATAAATTTAAAATTTTGTTATATACAATTGGAAATTTTGGCCTGATAGTTGGGTAAGAGGAAAGTTATGACCATGACCATGATTATCCAAAATAAATTTATGAACATACAGCCACCAATTTTCAAGAACACATTTTGTCTTATACCATATTTTGAATTGCTGTTAGAAAACAACAGTGTTTTAACGTGTTTACACACAAGAACCTGCTGCCAGATCGCCACAAGACAAGCACCCCTTAAATTACTGTAACTAAGTAACTTTTTCAGTATTTCGACAGTAGCCTTGGCGAGATATCGTGCTCAGGACCAAAATGTTGGCTAGACAGATGGACTGACAAACTGAACAAATGGCCATACTTGGCTCCACCACGGCAGGACTAACCTGAATTAACTCCAGGCCCCAGGACACAACCATGGTATTAAAAGAAATACGCAAGTCCCTTGTGAAGTAGCTCTGATAGGATGGGAAGGATGGAGATCAAGCCCAGCTGGCATTGGGCAAGAGGCGGAGTACGCCCCATCCAATCCAAATTTCTTTATAAAGCACATTTAAAAACGACAAAGCACGCTGAACATGGTGAAAATGGTAAACACTCCCTGCTTATCAGTACGTTTACATTGTCATTGTGAAGATGCTAGCACGGTGACATTAGCAGTAAGCAATACACTGCTTTCTAGAAATGAAAAACAATGAGTCTGCAGCATAAACAAAAAAGCAATGATGACCCTCTTTGCATTAGTAAACACTGTAAACATGTATGTTATTTAATTGGGATTTTAAGTTAATGAAACCCTTGAATGAAAGGGTCAAAGTTTAAATAAGTAAGTAAAATAAATAATCTATCGGCAGTACATTGGACAACACTATTTTTATGCGGCTGGTTTTAAAAACCTTTCATAGCAGGTCACTACCAACCAATCAATCAGCCCTTATTGACATGGCCGTTCTGTAAATTGGAGACAGTGGAGGTCATGTGCGGAGTCCTCACAGCCAGCAACAGCATCTGCTGCGCTGCTGTCAGACACTGCAGGCTCTGACTGAAGTGACAAATGACTATGCTGACAAGGTCCTGCTAGGGTCCTCGAGGATCAGCGGGGTTGAAAGCATCGTGTGCACGCGTGTGGGAGTGAGTATGGTAGAGGGAGACTAAGAGAGAAATACACGGGCAAATGCCATTTGCTGTTCATTTATCTTTGTTTAACGCTCTTTGTGTGCAGGTGGTAAAAAGATGAGCCATAAACGCATACCTTATTGAACTCTACTTTGTAACCAGCTGCTGCGTTTGCCTGGTGAAGGTCCAACTTTTATTTAGCTCCAGAAAGTCAACTGGGCAATTTCTGTGCTTCATTTCACAGTTACACTATGGAGGACAAAAAATTACTTAGTCATCAATAAATACAAAATATTAGCAAGCCCATTTATTGTCGATTAATGGATATCTTGATGTACATAATACATAATATATATATATATATATATATGTACACATGATCAAATATAAAGAAATATAGAATTAAATCCAAATCTGGAAATAAATAAATGAATGTTGTCGATTCATTTCTATATTTTTATACATTTATGTGCTTTTATTTATAGATTTATACTTTATATCTGTATTTCATTTCTCTGTTTCTGTATTTCTGTGTCAGTATGGTCATAGAAGTGTGATTGATTTGGCTCCATTACTTGTCCCTGGTTTGGCCAGCTGACCTATCCTGCTTTAGTGAGGCTGGGACCACCTGCTACCTACCTGTAATGATCTGTTGAAAATAAGGCATTTTTTGTCTTCCATAATTCTCACATGGGAGCTGCCGAGTACAGCTGGATATATGAGCTGCTGAGTGCCTTGCTCAAGGGCACATTGATGGTCGTTTATAAAACAGCAGAGCACATCACTCATTCACTTTCCCCTGCCGCATTTTCCCAGCCAGTTGAGCAGTCATTCACAAACAGAAGTACACAGCAATACAAAAACAGACAATATCACTTTTAATATTTTCTGCCAAGCAGCGCTTGCTGTGTGTGTAGTGTGTAAAGTGTGTAACAGGCTTTTTCCTGACAGCCACAGCTTTGTTCCCAGAGCTTGTCACTGAGCAGCCAGCCATACTGATGAAAGCCTAAAACAGATAACGCCACAAAGGGAGGCTTCAACTTCACAGCCTGCTTGGCCTTAACTTTCCCCGGGCTTGGATAAGGGAGAACCCTGTCATTTACAACAATGCTACAGTACAGCAGGCTCGCTTGTCGCCTGACTTGAATCTATGCAGATAAGGAACTCTGAAAGAAGAAGAAAGCCCCCTACAACCCACACAGCAAGAGGCACGAGCTGCAGGGGTCTGCGTTTAGGAGATTAGCTCGAGTTGTGCCGCAGTTTGAATCCACTTAGTTTCAAATTGGAGGGGGGCTGTGTTTTCTCTTTGACAGCTGAACCTGATCCTGTTGTTATCGCAAAGAAACTGCACTTGGTTTAGAAGTAACGACATCGCCTATGGCAATTGCTCCGGCTCTCAGTTCTATTTCATAGTGGAAACAACTACACTCCCAGGCCCTGTGCACAGAGCAAACACACATTCGCTTGGTAATAACACAAAACCATGTATCCCCCTGCCTGTTAGCTCCATACTCACTTGTTTTGTTGCACTTGACTTTGGAGAGAAGTTTGTGCGCCAGCAGAAGATCTCCACTCTTCACTGCAACCAGCAGATCCTGTTCTTTCCCCATGATTACAGACCTAACCACAGACACACAAACTGCTCGCAGTCTGCAGCCAAGGTTGCTTTTTTTTGTCTTTTCAATGCTCCTTTAGGCGGACGGTTTCAGCAAACATTTGTCAGCAAGTGATCAGGAAGCGCCGAATCCCAGCCATGAAATGACTTTGTGGATAGAAGGCTTAGCAGAATCTAGAGTGAAGGAGCCTCAGGTAAACCGGTCCAGGACTCTTTTTTCTCTTGTTGTTGAGGTTTGGGTCCATTATCACTGCTGGCTGCTCAGCTGTTTGACGGTGATCTTGGATCTGGAGTTACAGCAGGACTGGTAGAGGTTTAGTTGCCTGCAGGGCTGAGTGTATGTTCATAATCTGTCTCCGTCAGCCCGGAGGAAGCAGCAGCCCAACCTGCCATTACACTGCAACGGGAAAGCTAAAAAAGAAGAAACAGAGAGCAATCACTATGATGATTTAAAAATACATTCACTACCATAACTATGACTCTGCCATTTTTTCACCATAAGACTGTCGGGCTGCGTATCAAACCTCAGTACTTCTTTCTTACTGATAGAAATGTGCCTGTAGCACACAGCGTCAAAAACTGGCAGTGAACGCTTCTTTGCTTACTCACTGATCACATATGTTTACATTTTAATTTAATTTCAATTTTAAGAAGTTTAAATCCCAATTTTAATTTTTGTATTGCTGCTTGTGTTATTTTTTTTATTGCCGATCTAAACAAAAAAATATAAACTCTTTCACAGCAGACATTTTGACATGTCATAGTCATAGGTGTTACTAATATTAATGATCTGTTCTATTCAAGTGTCCCAGTAAGTCATGACAGTGTGACAGTGAGCCAGCATGCACAATACAAGGAGCGGGAAACTAAAGCAGCTAAATGAAATGATTTACATGTGAGCTTTTCCTCCTGTAACAGGTCAAAATACCCAATTTTAAAAAGTCCTATAGGGCCTGACCGATAAATTAGCCTCACCGATACATCGGCTGATACTAGCTTGATGCAGATATATCCAGGTTTGTCCTGCATACAGAATGACGAGGCGGCCGTGTCCGTCACATTTGGTCCCGCCTCCATCTCTTAACAAAACTCTGAGAGTGTCATCATGGTAGGGCTGGACAATAAAACAATAACAATAATTATCGCAATCTAATTTTTTCAATAACAATATAACAAATGTTTGATTTTATTTACTTGAATTATACATGAATTAGGACTTTTTTTAATTAAGATGTTTATTTTGTTGTGGAAAGAGGACTGAAAAAAGCTTTTACTTAATTTTACTTGTGCATATTTGTTTATCATTATTGTTTTGAATGTTCCACCTAAGATTTGTGAAGTGATCCACTGTTTGGCCTCAAGTGTTGCACGTAAAGAAAAGTTTAAACCAAAATTAACCATCAGGTTTCTTCAACTTTCACTCAGGAGCAAAATCTGACTTTAAACTCAAAAGAAATAATGATTTGATACTTATCGTGTTAATTATCGATATCAAAAGATATGAAACTTTTTGTCATGATAACATTTTTGGCCATATCGTCCAGCCCTACTTCATGGTAAACACTACTTACTAGCATGTGTTGCACTTTGTGGATTTCTGTCATTTATAACTGCACTTAAGTCATTACGCTAACGTGGTGACGCTGTATCATAATCAGCACAGTGCGCAGAGAAAGCCGTCTGATTGGCTGCACCTGCGGCAGTGCGGGTCATGTCTCTGCCACGCAGTAAAAATGTTTTTGAACATTTAACAGCAATTCACATCAACTTCCCCACACGAGGGCCCCGTGATCTATAAATGAAACAGTAGCTGTTATATTTGATTTGAAACAACTTGCTGTTTGTTAACTGTAAATGAACACAATCACTTTTGTTGTATTTCTTTTCATAGTGAACAGGGCACCTTTATATATTTTTAAATATGCATTGATTATTGTCATTTTCTTCCTTCATATGATTATTAGAACTCTTAAACTACGTTAAAAGTAAAAAGTGTTTGCTTTAGCCAGTTGACGGCGCTCATTTTGAGCCAGATAAAACCCTGTATATTGTATTGCATAAAGGACGACCGATAAATACAAGTAGCTGCACATGCATGTCATAGACATGTTGGATGTAGCCTATTAGAAGCAGTTTCTCTATAGAAGGTCAGTGGTTCGATCCCCGGCTCACCCAATCGTTCTGTTCATTTCTGTTTCAAATGAGCAGTTGGCCCTTTAGCCAAAACATCAGTGGGTGAATGTGATGTAGTGTAAAGCACTTTGAGTGGCTGGAAAGGCGCTGTAAAAGTACAGACTGTTTACCTTTATAATTCATCTCAATCTGTCGACTGTGTTTACTGATTAATCGATGAACCGTTTAGTGTATAAAATGTTAGGAATTTGTGAAAAGTGTCCATCACATTTACAATAGCCTCCATTGCTACATTCACATGTCTTGATTAGGCAAGTGACTTTAACTTGACCCAACTTTTGTTTGTTTTCTCAGATCCAGGAAGCCCCGGCCCCTCGGGAGCGTGCAGCTAATCTTCCCTTAGAAGAATTCAAGTTTTTTCTGTGTACAAAACAAAACCACAATTAGGACTAAGAGGCAATTTCGGAGGGGATGGTGCTCTCCTGGCACTATCTACCATGTCTCTTAGTGAGTAGTTAATTACTATGTAAGCAATGGAGAAATTAAGCAGCAGCCATATATATATGATTTGAGATTTTTGTAAAAGTTGGATGTATTTGTTTTAACAGACCTGAAGGCTTTTTTTTCTCCCTGACACCCCAACAGGATTTTGTCTTTGGTTGAGTTGGAATTCATAGTCTATGTTGTGCCCAGGACACACTTTGCAAGTCAAACACATGAGCAGGCTATCTCGTCTTGCAGCCTATTTAGGGCTGTTCGACAGATAGTTCAGTTATTCCTCCGGACTATTGTGTGATCATGGAGCAGTGTAAGCCAGCAGCAGATGCCAATGCATGTCTTTGCACTGACACCTAATCTAAAACTAGCCCGGCACTTCGCCAGGCAGTAAACAACTGCATAGCCCTTCACTGACAGGATCCAGAATGTAAACAAGGAGGCCAAAACTGTTGTTAGCCCAAATGTCAATGGATAAATCCTTCAGAGTCACGTTCTGTCTTATTAAAATATAATATATACAGTATATATACTGAAAATGATTTAATTGGGTAATCACATGAAAGCATCTGAATTTATTGTCATTGCTATTACTTCTTAATTCTAAAAAAAAATCATTGTACATTTCATATGTTCTGGAGTACACATTTCCTTGTAAGTTAACACTCCGTTCAATCTTATGCAGACACCATTCTCAACTCTGACATTTTCCCTGGCAGCAAAATTATATGTCAATTATAAAAGGAAGGACACAAGAAATCATTAGTATTGCCTGTCACTTCGGCATATATCAAATCCACCGATCTGTAGTAACATCTCAGTAACACCTCATGATTTCTAGCAGGTTCACCTGTGCATCCTCCGCATGAACACAGAGTGGTGGTCAAGAGATCGATGACAGAGTTTATAAAAGTTCAGATTTTATTAAAATGTGGTTCTGTGTGGTGGATTGTGTATATGCCGAATTAGCTATAAGGCACTAAAAGCGTGTTTAAAGTTATCATACATGTTCTACTGTTTGACTATAAGTAAACTAACAGGTATGTTAGGTTTTTGACAGCGCTGGGACAGTTTCCACTGTTATTGGAACACTAGCGAAATTCAGCCGGTATCTCCAATTGAAGAGAGACTTCTTTAAATACGGGCAGCCAGTCTGTCTTTTTGTTAACATTCATAAGGAGTGCCCGCTGCTACTCATTCTCCGTACATTTAGCCTCTCCTCATTTGTTAACTTGTCAGTCTCAACTGTCAAGGTGCTCGACTCCCCGGTCACGCAAAGTCCAAATACACACGTCTTTCCATGTATAACGCGGCATTATTTGTATAAGTTGAGGGTCGTTTTAGTTCGCTTTGTCAGAATAAATACGTTTAGAAAGAGCAGAGTTCTTACCTGTTGTAGATAGAGAACTGCAGGTGGAATCAGACAAATCCACTGTAGTTACGGCGGGGAGAGCGCTGGACAGCACGAGACGGAGGAGCCAGCGTCAAGTGAAAAGCATAAATGCATCCAACTTCCGATTGTAACTTTCAAAATAAAGCGTTTATTGATTAAACCGCCACAAACATTGAAACGTTGGCGGTCTAATCGTCTGTCTTTTTATTTGTTTGGAATATGCTTAGCAGGTTTTGTATATACTGGACATTTCGACGTCAATTTCTGAAATTACTGAGCAGTAACCTTTTCGTAGCTCGACCAGCCACGAAATTATGTTTTTATTTTGAAGGCAACATTATGTAACTTCTGTAATCAATTACCCTTCTTTATTCAGACCAACTTCACAAAGTGTTATAGATGCTAAATGTACCTGGATAAGCGGGACCCCACAGAGTGCAAGTTATTTCTAAATTCTAATTATATTATATATATATTATAAATCTTAATTCTAAACAAAAAAAGTCATTAGTTAATCATAACAAATACATTCAGTGTAAGATGCAGTGTAACTATATAATGTTTTTGTTGTTGAATTACCTGGGTGATTGCAGTGAGAATAAAACGTGCAATTGGCTCGTGCATTATTTCTAATTTAGACCACTGCGGCAAATTAAATTGTTGCTTATTTTCCTGCATGAGATATTTCAGAAGACTCCGGGCACAGTGTAGTATGTGATGGCGACATCTGCTGGTTAAAAACTTTCTAGTTGTGTGTTTTGTAATTTTATGCAGAAGTAAATGCTATATAAAAGTTTTTCAAAAATGTTTAATTTAGATCAAAATAATCTAGATTTTCTAATATTTAAAAAAAAATCCAACATTTTTTTTTTTTACTTGTCAGGATCATCATGACACTATAATATGTAGCGAGCACATTTGTAGTCTATGTCAACATATACTGTGTAAACAACATACATTATGCATCTAGGCGCAAAGGTTGAGGTTATTCCTGATTTATTTTGGGTATGTTATTTTAGGCATTTTTCCTGAAAATAGGTGTCTGTGTTTAATTAAATAATGCATCTGGTGCATAGTTTACTGGAAAAGATTGGCAATATCACACTTTGCAGCAAACAGGCCAGACCTCTATCAGTTCAGGTGTGGCCTGACAGGTTAAGTCCCGCATCTTAAGCAGAAAGGAGGGTTTTCAACACAGGTGTTGAACAAGTTAAGGTGAGCACAGAGAAACTCCCCTCCTTCAGCAGCTGAATGTACAACATTCACAGTCATATTATATTTAAAAGTTCTTGAATTGGCCAGCACACACAACCCCCCGACAGAGAGAAACCTCTCTATCATGGCTCCAGTGCGCTTATACATGTCGCAATTCATCACCATAGTTAGGTAAGAACAGACTTGGCTGTCAGTGACTCCACTTTCATCATTTTCCTCTTGTTGCTCTGTGCAAGAAGAAATGTAAGAGTACAATAAGGAAACTTTCATGCATGCGGCCCATTGTGTGCATCTTTGAGGTCTAACAAATGGGATAAATGCATTTCCTTCCTTGTCAAACATTTTCAAAGCAGATCTTTTGGAAAGTTTAAATCCTGCATTGTTTAGGTGCATATTTACTTGCTAGCAGTCTTCTTCTTCCCTGCCTTTTGTTGGTTTCGTTGCTGCATTTCAAGGCATGTTGCTGCCACATGTAGATTGGTGGAATAGTGTAAAAAAAAAAAAAAAACATTGGCAGAAATATGTATCACATCACCAGAGATAGCCGCTCATAAAGAAACTGCTCCATTGCTCTATTAGTGGTCAAAACACCACAAGGTACCTTTAAAGCTTTGATCCTGCTTCAGTACAAACACCAACACTACGGACAACCGCCTCAGTACATACTGCAGTGTCGGGTCTGCAGGCACAGACACGTTCCTCACTTGTGCATTACAAAACATTGCAAAACATGATGCAAGACAGAAAGAAGAGCAGCTACTATGTTTGTTTTTGTAAAAAAAAATAAATGAAAAGAAAATGGTGTGTTATTGTTGCACTGACAGAAAGAATATGAGTCAGAGGCAGTGACTGTCATGGCCGGTCACATTCACTGCTTTCATCCCAAGTAAACACAGGGACATTTTGGGGATCTTTTAGAGAATGTTCCTCAGAAAGAAAAATCTATTGCTATCTGTTCTGTGCAGTTTTAAATATGAATACAGCATCTCAAATACACTAGAGCATGATGACATCTTGAGTAATGAACATCCCGTGGTCACCATGTTTCCATAGTGGGTGATTTTATTTGTCATCGCAATGAGCCATACACTAACCATCTGAAGTTAAATACTACCTCATAATGAAATAATAATATATCCAAAAACAACCATGGTGGATATTTTCTATTGGCCATGTCTTTATTGGCCCATTAGAGTCCTTTTGAATTATTTCTATGACTTTGTTTGCACATTCAGCTGCTGAAGCAGGAGAGTTTCTCTGTGGTCACCTTTAACTTGTTTAACACCTGTGCTGAAAACCATCTTTTCTGCGTGTCTTAAGGAGCAGGACTCAACCTGTTAGGCCACACCTGAACTAATAGAGGCCAGGCCTGGCAGTGTATTGCCAATCTTTTCCAGTTAACTGTTCACCAGATGCCTTATTTAAGTCAGTTTAGGATATGGAGACAACATGTCAAGGAAATGCATTTATTCTATTTGTAGACCTCAAAGATGCACACAATGGGCCTTATGCGTGAATGTTTCCTCATAGCTCTCAACATTTTCCTTTCAACAAGAGGAAAATGATAAAGTCCTACGTTGGGGTCATGAACAGTGCACTGACAGCCAAGTCTGTTCTTACCTACCTGAGTATGAGGACTTGCGATCTTAAATTAGATGCACGTGCCATAACGACAGCACTTCAAACTGTCAAGAAGACAGACATGGATAAGCGCACTGGAGCCATGATGGAGAGGTTTCTCTCTGTCGGGGGGGTTGTGTGCTCCCCCCAGGCAGCGTGCCACCGCATTCAAGTTGTGTTTCTGTGCATTAGATATTATTTGGACATTGATTGAATGGAATTGTTTTCTATTGAGGAAGGGGAGCGGATTTGGAGATGGTGCCTCGATGCACACGCATGAATTCAGTGGATTGCTTATAGGCTAGTACAGCAATGGCATAAAAATCAGTTTTTATGCGAGTCTGTTGAGCAGTGGCATGTGGAACGGAATGTGCTGGGGTGTTAACTGGATGATACCCTGGAGAAGTCAGGAAACCGATAGCGCTGAGTATTTGCAGATGAGTGGAGTGGGAATAGATTGCACAATTAAAGTTCAAATCTGTGCATACGCACAATTCATGCACGAGGCCCAATGTTTTGGTGAGTAACAATGTAAACATAGCTTTTGTTTGTTTACAAGAAAACTCTACAGGGCACCTTTAATCCATTGTTTTTATAAACAAAACAAGATTAGTAAGACAGTTTAAGTGTCTTCAGCTGTTTGTGGCTTGCAGTAGAGGGTGTAAAGATGAGGGCCAGGTCACAACATAGACAGTATTCCAGACTGGTGAATAGGCAGGGTTCGCGGAGAAGAAGAGACCCGTGACAGTAAAGCAGAGGATCCTGACATCCTGTGAATTCAAACAATCATTCAAACAATGTATCAACCATTGTTCCACTGAAGACAAAGTGAGTGTTACTATTAAAATAATGATAACTGGTGTTTTTGTGTCCAGTACAGTTTGTGTCAAGTTAAAATAATCCATACATCTGCTCCACTGATATCAAATTTACACATAATCTGTGTTACAGCTTGGCCAGTTGATAGATGTACTGACTTTTGCAGACTGATCACACAGACATGAGTCCGACTGTCTAACTCTTGGCAAGACTAAGCTAAACTATTTCTTTAAAGAGGTCATATGCTCATTTTCAGGTTCATAATTTTATTTTGGAGTTGTACCAGAACAGGTTTACATGGTTTCATTTTCCAAAAAGACAGCACAGTGATCCAGTGGATAGCACTGCCTCACAGTAAGAAGGTCGTGGGTTCAAACCCCAGTTGCCCCGGCTTTTCTGTGTGGAGTTTGCATGTTCTCCCCATGTCTGCGTGGGTTCTCTTCAGGTGCTCTGACTTCCTCCCACCATCCAAAGACATGCGGACTAGGTTGATTGGTGGCCCTAAATTGCCCTTAGGTGTGAGTGGTTGTTTGTCTATGTGGTAACCTATGGACTTTTCATTTCCCCATCATTCCCAGGCAGAGGAAATTCCTACACTTCTCATTCAGGGGAATCCATGTGTAACACATTTTCCTGATGGCCTGTGCTCTACCAACTGTGCTAACCAGTCACAATA